GGAACATCCCAAATTGTGTGAGGAGTGGCACTGCTGGCACACACGGGCACAGGGCAGCAAACACTGCAGCTGCTGGGGACACAGGAGGGACACTGCTGCTGCTGCTGTCTCTGCTCACTGCCAGAGCAAACAGCTTCTGCAGCACCTTCAGCTGCTTCCCAAAGGATGCCAATTCATCAGCTGTCTCCAATTTCAGCATCCAGAAAACTGAAAAAGCTCACAAACACAGCCCCAAAATTGGATCACCTGGCCGAAACATGAAATATACTTAAAGGAAACAAATTATGATTACTTACTGGACACAAAGCATAAATAAATTTATCAAAATAAGCATCACTATACTAGACTACAATGTTAATGTCATCTGGGAAGGGTGAAGTTTTTTTTTTTTAAACATTTACTCTGTGTGCTTACAATACCAGTGACTGGATACCAGTCATGTTCTACAGACAAAAGCCACGTGCCAGTTCTCAACACGTCTAGCAGCATCCAAAAGACTGGACTGAAAGACCATGGTTAATGACAGCCCCCTGAACACTGCTCAAGATTTCTTTAAATAAGGAATTATCTCCTAAAATTCAGCCACAAGATCACAAGAAGGAACAACTAAATGCAATATGAGAAAACACTCTCCCCTCCTCACTTGTCTGCATGAGCTGACACAGACATGATCCACAAGAGCAAAGGCTTTTCTGAGATCAAGAAATAGCCCTGAGAACCAGACACAGTGAAGAAAACAGCACTTCATTCAGTCAGAACTGCTTTCACTGCCTTCAAATGCATTCAGAGTGCCATTCCATGTGTCACACATAGGAAAGTTTCAACATTTCCCTTTTCTTGCAAATTCAAGATCCTTTAGCTGAACTAAAGATTTCAAACTAAACTAGATTTCAAACAAGAGGAATATACAATACTTAAAGGAGCAAAGTATTATTGATGTAACAGAAATCAAGACATAAGTAAAAAATCCTTTAAAATTACTACATTTTGGGTATCAATATCTAGCATTTTGTAATAAACAGAAGGTGTATCTCCATTCATGAGACTACGAAATCATGAATGAACAGACATTTGAACAGGACAGTGTTTTAACTCTTTTTTTTTAAGACAGACCTTCCGATGAGATATATTCATGTTATGATTCAAATGTATAAATGGAATTTATAAAGCATACCTTGAAGAGCTCTGACCCTGATCCTTCATGCCCACAACCAGGTAGCAAGTGGCATATATAATGTTTCCAACAGGCTCTATTCAGCCAGACCCACTGAAGTTACACAGTTATTATTGAAATATTTTTATGCAATACCCTAAACAATTATGGTCTTTACCCTTTGCAGGTGTTTCTTATGCAGAAAGATCAATATAGATACAAAACTGACAAACTACATAGCATTTGTGCCATTTGCTCCTCACTCAATTATCTAACTATTAATAAACTTACCTATGAGATATTCCACATTTTCCCTCTCTCATCTGACCCCACGAAAGCAATGCAGCAGTTTAACAAGAGACTGCAAAGGAACAGCAAGGTTTCCAGTTTGCTTTTCACTTCTGAAGTGGAATTATGCCCTGAAGCACTATTAAAATACAAAAAAGGTGAAAGATGAGGAAGTGTGAGAAAAAGCTCATTATCACGTTAGCTGTTTGAATGTGCTTTTGCAGGAGCTTTTTCCCACCAGTCTGATCTAGATTTGATTTCCCAGATACCACAGATTTACCTGCAATCACATCGTTTTCTGCTCTGTTACTCTTTTACCAAGCTGCTGATTATTTTGACCAGCGTCCTGCAGGACTGCCAACAGGGGAAAAGATGGTCTGTCCAAAAACCCTGGGCAGGTGCCAGACCCTGCAAAAAAGCCTCTTTATCACTGTTTCAGAGATTACTGTCCCCCACCTATTTGCTACTGCCCTGAAGCACTGAGGAAACTCTTCACTGAAGCAGATGGAGAGCATTCCCAAGCACAGGAATTATTCACCTCAAAGCTCATAAGGACCTGTTTGAGCCAAGCCAAGGATTCCCCAATCAGGCAGGTGGAGAACCACAAGTGGAAACACCTGAAAATCTAAATTAACTGAAAAACAGCTGANAGGGATGGACACTGCAGCACCACACAACAACACAGCCCTGGCTCTGCAGGGCACACCAATCTGGGGTATAAAACATTGATATTCATACCTGAGTCTTTCTTGGTGCCTTTTCCACCCTCTCGGCTCTTTTTCAGAACGGCCTTTAACATTTTAAATATTGCTCCTCCTACAGAATAACAGAGAGAACCGAAAGTAAATACAATGTCCTTTTGCACAAGTCAAAACAAAATACAGACAGGATCAATAGAAATAAAACCGTGAGGTAATTAGGAGAAACATTTTGGCAGGCACATTCATTTCTTACAACATCACTTGGTTAAGCAAAGTTCTGATGCACAAATAATGTTTTAAYACTTGAACTAAGCAGTTAAGAGTTTGCTGTCATCTGGTACAGAAAAATAATGCAGCATTCTCCACATTCCACATCCAATTACAGCTCCAGGGCTAAACCCAAGTCAGCTGCTGTAAGACACTCCAGGAAAAACAAACCAAAATCAGGATCTACCTCCTGACTGAAGCTCAGGGAGAAACAGGAGCAGCCTGGTGTCACTTGGGAATGCCAACTGCAGGACTGCAAAATGGGTAAAAACAGGACATGGTTCCACTCACAGAGGARCAAACTCCTCTGCCCCTGCAGCACTCTCTGCCTGCCACATGGCACATTTAACTATCAACCTCAAGCGAGCACCAGCTGCAGATTATAGAGCAGTACTAAGCGTAAGAAAAATATGTTTGGGCTGATAAATCTGAAAGACAGTTAAGCTGTTTCACATAMGTAACTTCAGTTACAGAGCAAGGAACACCGAATGAAAGGAATTCCAAAGAGCACTTCTTTCTCAAAAAGCTTTCTGGGAGCATCTATAAATTGTAATTTCATTTGTTTTCTCTACTAAAAAATTCAAAAGGTATTTCATTTTAGAAAACCTGCAGTACAGAATACGCAACAGTAAGAGGGGGAAAAAAGTAATTTGACTATGATGTTTCATGTTACAGACTGCCATAAACCCCATATGAAATCAAGAGGAAAAGCAAAAGTCTTCCATCCAAAAACTATGGATTCCTCAGAAAKCTCTCTTCATTTGATGAAATAAAGCAGAAAAAGAGAAACCAGTAAAAAATTCTTCAGCTCCTACAAATAACCTGAAGCACGTATAACTAACCAGAGGACTGAGATGGTTTCCAGTGCCTGGCTCATATTCCACACAGAGCTCTTCTGCAGGTGACAGCCAGGCACACAAAACATCCCAAATTGTGTGAGGAGTGGCACTGCCTGGCACACAGGAACATCCCAAATTGTGTGAGGAGTGGCACTGCTGGCACACACGGGCACAAAGCAGTGCAGGTGACAGGACTGAAGCAGATGGAGAGCACTCCCAAGCAGAGGAATTATTCACTTCAAAGCTCATAAGCACCTGTTTGAGCCAAGCCAAGGATTCCCCAATCAGGCAGATGGAGAACCACGAGTGGAAACACCTGAAAATCTAAATTAACTGAAAAACAGCTGAGCACAGCAGAGGTTTTTCAGCCTTTCTGTTCCCATTCTGCTGAGACCCTCCACAGAATATGCTAACACCACTGCCTTCTACCCTTCTCTACCAAGTTTTCCCCTTCTTCARTTATGACTTACAAAACGAGAACAAACTAATCCCAACAAAACYCTAAACCAAAGCCACTTCTCATTCCTACTGAATTTATCCCTGTTATTYAGACTTCCTTCTGAACCTCATCCCYCTWGCTCTTTCACTGACAGGACCCCATCAAGTTCTTCCAAAGATAAAATGTGTTCTGGTCTCATCTCATTTAGCCCAGCTCTATGCTCACCAGGGCAGTTTTCTCCCTTCAATTTCATCTTTAGGTATCACAGAAGCAAATTACCCTCAACCATTTCAGTGATTTTTATTTCTAAATTCAATTAATTATTTTTCCTCTCCTCTGGCTTTGCCAGACAGGGATCACTGTCCATAGATTATGCTGCAACCCCATTTTTTGCCTCAGGGACACAAAGGTGGAGGGTGGCTGTGTTGAGAACGGGATAAACAAGRGTGGGGGAGGCTTCTTCCCATTAAAAAGGTTTCCAAAAAAAATGTTGCCCCCTCTCTAAATTGAAGGTCAGTATTTAGAGAGGCATTTTAGAATTAAGTAAGGCCAGGAGRTTTAAAAAGAAGTGCTAAGGAAACACCAGGTACAGCATTCCAGCCAGCAATCCCTGGGAACCACAGACAGCATGGACTGYTGGCACTGAGGCAGAGGTGAACACAGGAAAATGAAATTTATAGTCTTTCTTGCCTTGTTTATAACGGCCACTTTCCATCTCTCTCCATCCTCCCCTGCCATGGTCAGCACAGGAGTGACAACCCCTACTCCATTTATGAAAACTCAAAACACCTGCAAGAAAACTCATCACGTTCCAGCTGGCAGAAGTGACATCCCCCAACACCAAATAACGAGAACATCCACAGATTAAAACTAGATGAAAAACAGGTAGAAACCACCAATGCAGCTTTACCAGCAATCAGAAAACRGAACTGAAGAACAAGATCATGTTAACAAAAATTCTGACTCAACTCACAGCTATTAAGTTTTATTTTACTGAATAGTTGTATGCTTAGGCTATCACAGCTCTGTCCTGTCCAGAGAGCACAAAAGATGAGGAATACAGAAATAAAATGAATGTTTTCTCAGCTGTCCTAGATACAGTCCTAATTTCAGATGAACATCAACAAGCTGGTGTAAAACAGCACCACGTAACTCCAGGCAGCCACCAGCAAACACAAGCAGARAGAGCCACGTTCCATGGCCCAGAGTGCACTCAAACAGCCCCATGAGCAAACCCTGCTCCTGCAGCCCAAACCCTGAATGGGTTCAACCCTCTGCTCCTGCACCCAGCAAATCCCCCTGCACCTCCTGAGCCACTGGGGACAGAAACTGGGCACCACGGTGAAACTGGGCAGCCAGCACCTGGGAACTGGGAATGACCCCAGTGTTCACTGGGAATGAGCCCAATATTCACTGGGAACTGGGAATGACCCCAATATTCACTGGGAACTGGGAATGACCCCAATATTCATTGTGAATGAGCCCAGTATTCACTGGGAACTGTGAATGAGCCTCAATATTCACTGGGAACCTGGGAATGAGCCCCAGTATTCACTGGGAATGACCCCAATATTCACTGGGCACTGTGAATGACCCCAATATTCACTGGGCACTGTGAATGACCCCAGTATTCCCACAGACTGCACCTCTGCACTGTTCAGGCATCCTGCAGGTTCCAGTGCAGCCACTCCAAGAGTTGTGGGGTCCCAGGTGTCTAAGCCAAGGCTCACTACCAGCAGGCACGGCTCAGTCTTTGCCACCTGGATTTAAGCCAGCTTCTTCAGCTTCTGTCAAGCTCTAGTTACTGTTAAAGAACCACCACATCTAGAAAGCTGGGGGGGGGTACAGATGTGAGGCCTTCTTCCATCATTTTTTCATCCACACMAATAAATTCACAGTAAGCACAGATTATCTTCCCTACAGAATTACTCTAAGCAACAACAGGAAAGCAGACCAGGCAAAATCCTGTTGAGTTTTCAGAGCACTGATGCACTCCTTGCCCAGGCACTGCCTGGCCACAGTCCCTGTGTAAGAGGAGACCAAAAGCAGCCAGTTTGACTGGAGCACAAAACTCCTGACAGCAAAGCTGGGCTCCAGTTCAGCCTCTCCTTCCTGCAGCAAGCAGGAGAGGGAAGGTCTGGGGAGTGCCCAAATACAGCCCAGAGATCATCATCATCTCATGAGCTCTAGAGTTTGATACACAGATAAATAATCTCGTCACTTAAGCATGCTGAAATAGCTTTAYAAAACTTCTCAAGTACAAATGAATACTGAAGAATTAACTCAGTCATGCTAAACAACGAATTTTAAAGGGAAAGCATAGTAGGAGACAGCAGAGGATGCAGACACATTAACATCAGACCACACAACAGATATTCTGTATTAATGAGCAACTGATCCCTTTATTTGCTTCCCTTCAGGATAAGATCAGATTAAGGCTCCACAAAATAAACTTATTAAAAAAAAAAAAAAGGGCACTTGTCAAACTAAAGTTGAACACAAAACCAAACGCAGTGAGGATCATGGACTGTTTCAGAGGCTGCTTCTGGGGTTTTTCCAGTTTGGTGCTACACCATACCTTCAATATTCAGAAGTCATTTATCTAACAGTGGTGCTTCCTTGTGGTGGTGCAAACTCCCACCCCTTTCCACAAATGCCTTTTTTGGGGGGTCTCAAGCACACTCATTTGGGACAATCCTGTACACAAAGATACTGTTGAGAAATAAGACCTTACACATTTGTGTGTTTGTTAGGCCACATTTTTTTCCACTGTCACAGCTTTGTGATAAAAGAYTCTCCAATCTTCACATCAAGTCTTGAGAGCTGAAAGCAACCAAAAGACACAAACTAAGCCAGTTTTCTCAAACTTTCCCACACACAAAACCTAAAGCTGACCTTTCTCTGTTTTTCTGGAAAACATAAAGATCCGGCTCCTGACAGAACTTGAAACACCGCTTTTTAGTCAAAACAGCATCTCTACAGATAAACCTTAATTTTAAAACCATGGATATAAATGATAATTTACAGACATTTATGGGTGTCATTACAAATAACCAATAGATCAGGCCTGATGTTCTCATATGCACAAGAGTTTGAAGGCTTGCAAAATCATCTTTCACCTTCAAAGAAAGGTTTAATCTTGATAAGAGGAAGAAGTTCAGCTAAAGAAAAACAGAGCACCTCTGCTAAGACTACTTAGCTGCCTTCAGACATATAATTCAGATCACAAAAGTTGCCATGGCATCAACTTGAGGACTGTAGTTAGAGACACAAAATGTATTTTTCCTACAGACACTTATGGGAAGCTGAGCAACTTTGGCCRTGAACCAAATATGTTTTGGCTCTAAAGCAGATGTAATTCATCCCCATTTGGCTATCCCAATGGTTAGCTACACTGAGAAAGCAAAGCAACCAGCACTCCAGTGCATCCAGGTAAATGAAACTCTAGATACACTACCCCAGCAGGGGCAAAGAGAAACTGTATTTGTGTTCACCTTGCTCTCTGGCATTATTTAATAGTCTTCTAAGTCTTCATTTTTAATTATTTTGCTGACTGTCTGGTGCTTTTGC